TGCAGAGGCAAACATCTCCAGGCTAGGGGACACCAGCTACTTCCCCCCATAACACACACACACACCCCAGAATTCTTTAGTCATTGTACCTAGAGTGTCTAGTGGGACATTGTGACCCTGAGCTTGCTTCCTACTCCCTCCTCCTCCCAGGTGAGGTTCTTGCATACCCAAGAAGGTGGCAGCTAAGGGCCACCAGGAAAAAGAGCCATAGATCGGGTAAGGACCCAAGGAGGCAGCTTTGCAGAGAATGGCTGATCCCAGAAAAGGCCTATGACAGGGTCCCTAGGGAAAGGGCCCTGGCCAATGAAGAGAGGGCTCTTAGGTGTCTGAGAGACAACCTGCCTCTCCTAACATTCCATAGATCTGTTTGGAAGCCCTAGGGTGCTGCCCTCTTCCCCTAAACCCTCATTAGCATATTCTTCTGGTCTGATTTTATCTTCCCTGGTGATTTTTCAGCATACCTTCATCTACAGTGAACAGCTTAGCTCAGCTTACACCTAGGATGGGCTAACCTCTCAGGGGAAGTCACCTCTCTTAGGCTGCAGTGGGACCCCACAGTTACATAGAAGGAAAGCAATTGTCCCCAGAAGAAGAGCTCCTGCAGAGCAGTGTTGGTGGCATATACACTCCAGGACTTCCTGAAGTACCGGGCAGGGGACAGCTTCTACCTTTCAAGCCACTGGGTTCCATCAGAACTGTTGTGTGCGAGGGCGTGTGCACATGCACACACACACACGCACACATACACACAGAGAGAGAGAGGACAACACTTCCTCTAAGTGGTTACAGGGTGCCTTGGGAGACCCACCTCTCGTGTGTACACAAAGAAGAGACTGTCCCAGACGCCTTGGAGCTAGGGGTATTCTCTCAAGGAATGAAGAGGACAGAGACTAGCGAGTACAGAGCACTACATCTAGTCAGACCCTCAGGGAGGCATCACAGACTGGACAGTGGAAGGGAACATGGAGGCACTCAGATGTGTGAGGACTGTCTCCCCACGAGAACACCTAGTTAGTAGCAATGGTTTACTGAATGCTGTCTCCTGGTGCCTTGCAGAATGCCTGTCCCATTGCATGTGTCCAGTGCTTGCTGACTAAATGAGCAGTGGTCCCCATAGCACCCTGCAAATCTTTCATCCCTGCCTTCCTCTTCCCTTAAGAGGTGCTCCCTGGAGAGCTAACAGCCCAGTTCTGTAGTTCCTTAGGCTGTGCTACCATCACTTGAGGCGAGCTGAGTGGCACATGGGACAAAAACAGCAAGACTCATCCCTGAGCAAGCCTTGGAACATTTTGATATTCATGCATTGCTCAGGTTGAAATGCATGTGAATTTGCCCATGACCCGTTACTACAATTTTCTTTAGCAGTATAACTGTTACATAGAACTATGGCCTGGATGCTGTTCCCAGGGAGGCTGGATCCAGTGACAGAAGCACGTCTCTGTCCTCCCTCCCCCAGCTGAGGCTGAAGGGTGACCAGAGACAAATGTAGGGGCTGACTCTGGACCCCTAGCTCAGGCTCTGGCTGGGTTGCTGTCCTTCCTCTGGGTCTCCCCACCTCGACTGTCTAATGCCATCACCAACCTTCTCTGCTCCTTTCTGAGAGCACAGGGACTGGGAGCCGCCAGGCTGGGAGCTCCCTCTGTTTACCTAGGAAAACTCAGGAATAACAGAGCCTCCTGGGACAACTGGAGAAAGCCCCTTGAAAAAGCAAACTCATCCCGGACCTCTCTGTGCTTTCCTGCGCTCCACGGAGCAGCTGCCCCCACCCACAGGTGCTCCCAAGCTGTTAAATGAGAGGCCCATGCTTCGGTGTAGAGACTAGGCTTCCAGCTACTGGGGAGTGGTGGCCCAAGGAGCTGTGGGTGCTCGAAGGCCACCAGTGGCCTAGACTAAGGGAGGTCCTTGTTACTTGGTAGCAAGCATGCTCCTGATCTGGTTTGGTCTGTAGTTTACTGTGCATGGGAGCCTGTCATGTCCTCCTGAACTGGTCTTCTCTGTCAGCTCTGGGTTGGTGTCATTTGTGGCCAGTACTGCAACCATGCACACAGCTCTGAATCTGGGGATCTGGTTAAGACTCCTTTGAACTTTCAGGGCTGAAAGTTCACCATCATGGGTGGTGTCAAATTACCCAGCTGTGCTCCCTATTCCATCCCACAGCCTGCTCCAACTCAGGGAACTCTCCTCCCTGATAGCTCAGGGAATGCAAAGCACATACCTAGCCCAACATATAGAAGCACCTAGATCTCGCCCTTGTTTTTGAGCTCATTCATTCAGTCAGTCAGTCATATCTTCAAGAAATGTAAATACATGTCATTCAGCCAACATCCTTAGAATATTGCAGAATGCCTCCAATTTAGTATCCCCTGGGTTGGAGAATGACCAGTAGTGGCGAGAGGCTTCCTCTTCAGCTTCTGGTAGAGGCAAATCTGCTGGGCCTCTAAGTTCCTCCCAAAGGTACAGTAGCCTGAAAAGCTCTGAGAGAATTCAGTTCCAATGTATAGTCATGAGTCTTGCTGGACCTTCGGATTACTGGATCTAATGTCCAAGTACAGTACTTCTACGCTAGCAGTTTATTGAGCGCCTTTTGTGTGTCTGCTGTGACTCTGGAATGGTTGTGCACTTGTGTGTGATGTCCACGAGGCAGGCAACTGACTGCCACCTGCTGAAGCACAGCTCTCCTCCATTTGTTATTAGGCCGAGCCCACATGCTGAATCCAGGCCCTGCCCCTGTGCCTTCTCTTCCCTGTAGGACTCACGGCTCCCTGGCCCCATCCTCATTCTTCACCCTACAAAGATGGCTCCCTGTGGCTTATCCTCCACTGGAAGCATCACCAAGCCCAGGGCCCACATGTAGACTGCGGTTCATTCAGGGTGATTGTCTGCCCTTGAGGGGAACTGTGGGACCAGGGGCTCCCTTGAAAGGCCAGTATTTTGCCACTAAAGTGGGCTTCAGTTTCCAGCTTGGATTTGGCTTCCCCAGTCTGTGCTAGGATTAAGGAACTGGTTCCTAGAGAGGAAGGGGAACCACCAGAGTCTGCTCTACCCCCAGGTGAAATCCACCTTTCCACCATGAATGGCCAGGGAATGGAGGAGAGATTAGGATGCCTCAGACTTGGTCTCTTAGTGCCTCCTCAGCAGGCTCCCTCATGCTTTCCTGCTTCTTCTGGTTCTGCATGTGCCCCACCTCACCTGTCTATGCCCCAGGTCAGTGTTGTCCCTTTCCAGGCTCTCTCCTTTTTCTGTCTCTCTCAGGCTTCTTTCCACTTCTTCTCTAAGAGCAAAAGTGTCCGCCCAAGTGAATCAGAGCCTCTGTAAGCCTTGTTTTTCTCATCCACCAAATGGAAACACTAGTAATGTTTGTCTTACTAAGTGATTATAATTAATTGACACCTGGTACTTGCATGACATCATTTTCACTCAGTATAATCTCCTTTCCTCTGCCTCCTTCCTTTTTTTCCTGTACAATTTCTCTGATGTTTCCATGTGTCTTTTTTTCCTCTTCTTCCACAGTTTCCACAGTGACACTTTCTCATCTCCCCTAGTTCCATCCCTCTGCCTCTGCTTCACACTCCACTTCCTTTTACTCCCTTTTGGCTGCCCCCAGCCCAGCCTCCTGCAGCTCCTGCCACAGGCCCAGGGACCTGGTAGGGCAGGGTAGGGCAGGGCTGGGCTGGTGGCAGTCTGTGCTTCTCACAGGCCTAAGAATGTGTGGAGTCATGAGTGACAATGAGAGCCTGCGGCAGAAAGAATGGGGCCTCTGTTGGGGCAGGACAAGTTTCCCAAATCCTGGGCTCAGCTGGAGTACCTGAGAGCCAGGGAGGAGGGGTGGGAACCCTGTGGCTGCAGGTGGTGTTGTGGGGGGTGGTGAGCAGGACTTCCAGAGTCAGGGGAATTATTATCTGTTGGCATTTGGGAGAGAACTTCAAGCTCTGGGGGGCAGGGACAGAGAAAGGCCAAGAGAATGTCCCAGGGCCTTGTGAAGTGGCCTTTGCATGCAGATGCTCCTCTGGCCCCTTGTGCCCTGGCTGTCATCAGCAACAGAACTGCAGAAGGCTTAGGGCGTCCACAGAGGAGGCAAGAGTCATGGGAAGGCCCCAGTGTGAGAAGGGTGAGTCCTTGGGCTTCTCAGGGAGTGGTAGGTATTTCAGTTTGGGGTGTGGGAGGGGGAGGAGGTGAGGCATCTGGCTCCCCTTCCTCTACAACTTCAGGGGTCCCTAGACTCAGGCCCCAGAAACACCTTGGGGAGAGACTACCCCTTCCAGAGGTTATGTGAGGCTTGTCAGGTGGGCTAGGTCCAGCAGGCTGGCAAAGGTCTTTTGTGCAGCTGGGACCAGAAGCCAGGACCAGCACGGCCAGGAGTCTAGAGGAGGGCCAGGTGAGGGTGGGTGGAGGGACAGCCTGGAGCTGCTTTGAGGAAGGAAACAGGACAGACTGGTGCTGACCTTGTCCCCAGGGCAGGGGAGTGGTGGGAACAAGGAGCTGGGTCTGCCTGAGGAGAGGAGGAGAAGAACTGGGCTGTAAAGATGGGAGGGGGTTCTGGCGGGAGACAGGGCCTGCAGGGAGCTCCCTCAGGTCTCCTGCCAAAAATTAAACCATAAAAAAGCAGGAGGGGAGCGGCCGCGGAAGGAAAGAGAGAAAGGAGATGGGGAGGGTGGGAGGGAACTGAACAGCCCCTCCACACCAATAGCCCGGCAGGGGGACGTGAGTAATACGCGGCCGGTTCAGAGGGAGTGAGATCAAAAGCGAGTAGATACAAGAGGTTTGTGCTTCACCGAGCAGACAGCCAGAGGCTCAATGAGACCTTTGTTACCCGGGCCCAAGTCAGGGTTGAAGGAATACCTGATCGCCCCGCCCCCACCGTGCTGGGCTGGGGGAGGGGCGGGTCACAAGTGAGTCAAGTTGAGTTGGGCACAGCCCGGCGGGCCAGTCAGTGGTGGGCGGAGGAGGGAGGCGGCCTGCCCTCCCCGGGGCGTGGAGCTTCGGGGTGCGTGGAGGAGTGAGTGGCTGCCCGGCAGGCAGGAAGTGGCTCTGCGGGAATTGTGAGGGCGACGTCGAGGAGAGGGGGCCTCACACTAGGTCCGCAGGTGAGCAGCCCCCTGGCCCCAGCCCGTGGCTGGGCGCCTCGGGAGGGACTGAGGGTGTTCTGCCTGGAGCCCACCGCCTTTTGCAAGCGCGCGGGTCTGGGATTTGAGGAGGGAGTCGTAAGAGAAGGAAAGGAGAACAGGCAGCTAGGTGGGGCCCATGGCTCGGAGTTCAGGGGGGAAGCTGTCGGGTGCCCACTTGGACAAGTCTGAGAGGTGTGTGTCTGTGTGTGGTGTGTGCAGTTTTTGGGAAGTGCAGGAGATCCAGGGAAAAGAGGGCTGTCCCACGCAGCCTCCTCCAACCTGCCCCTGACACTGGGATAAGGTAAGAGGGTGGAGGAGGTGGCAGCTACTCTTAGGCAGAGACAGGTCCTGCTCTCCCCTTAGGCCTCTCTGCCTTCCTGTTGGGGTTCTGTGGGAGAGGTCAGGGCTATGTCTTGAGTCCTCTGGGGCTTTCCTGACTCTGGGTGAGCAGGAGCCTATGTGGGGCCCCCTTTTTCAAGGCCCACAGGATGCCCGTAGTTGTCCTTTGTGGCAGAGGGGAGAGGACACGAAACTTGTATCTAGGACATCTTTTCTAGGGCCCTGAGACCATGATCCCTCTAACTCAGCTCTTCACCCTAGTCCTGGAGAAATCTGTGCCTACTGCCGTACCACTGCCAGCTAAAGTGGCATCAGACAGAGCACACCTCCCAAATCTTGCGATGTGGGGATTTCAGCTCTGGTCCATTTCCTGCCTCCAACAGGATCTGGAGAGGACACCTTCTCTAAAGGGAAGGAGGCCCTCATCCCTGCATTCCTAGGCCCATGCCCCACTTTGCCCCTTTGCTTCCTGTGCTGGGCTGGAAAGGGTTAAGGCTCATAAAGAGGGAGTCTACTCTGGGGCCTCTCGGGCTGTTTGCAGCAGCCTTGAAAAGATCCGGCCTTATTTGCTAGGGAGGGGGTAGTTAGGGACCCTGGGAGGGGGCTGGAAGCTAATTAAGGGAATGTAGAGGAGGTCCTTTATGGCCAGGAAGCCACCCCTCCTCACACCGGAGAGAGGACCATTGTGTGGGGCCTTTGTAGGGCAAGAACTGGAAACTCATTACTAGGGTAGCTTTAGTGTTCTTGGGGCCAGGCAGGTGGTGGGTTGGTGGAGAATGTAACCTGGGGGGCCCAGGACTTCAAGGAGGCAGTGTGGGTGGGTTTGGGGTAAGGGTGATTGAGAAGGGGGTTGATGAGGCTCCCTGTGCCCCCTTTGCTTCCTTTTGAGATTCCTGCTACCGGACCCCTCAGCTCTGCTGTGGCCTATGGCTTTTCATTCCTATGTGATTGCTGTTCCAAATTCATGTAGGGCTAAAAGCCATGGGCTACAGTGAGGGGCAAGCTCCTCCTGCACAGCTGCACCTCCCGTGGGACCAGCCACCACAGGGCACAAGGGGGAGGGCTGCTAGGGGAGGGCCCTACGGGGAATCTAGTCCTCTTGGGTCTGGGACTGAGCTGTGTGACCTTGGCCGAGTCACTTCCCCTTTTGGAACCTGGTCCCTTCCTCAGAAATGAGGTCGGGCTTGTGATTCCTAAGGAGGGAGGCATTCAACACTGGCTGAGGCCTTGGTTTCCCCCTTGCCAAGTTTCAGAGGCCTGGTACATAGCAAGAGATTTGGGGGCTGAAGTTCGGGGCAGGGAGCCTCAAAAACTTGGGTGTGTGCTTAGTCCCTCCAGTGACAGCCTCTGCTTACTGGCCTAATTTCTCCCTTCTCTGATCAGCTCAGAGACCTTAACCTTCCTGGTGAAGAAACCTTCATGACTGAAACAGGAGCCAGTTGGGGTGGGGGTCAGGAGTGAACACAGCAAAGCAGTACCTCCACTCCTCCAGGGTCAGAGCCTGGGGTCCCTAACTTCTCACCCCACCCCCAAGCTGAGCAGTACCTCTTGGGTACTGCTTCCCTTGGGCCTGTTGCTCAGCTTGCTTGGCTCCCTTTCTAATCCTATTTCCATTCCCACCTCGTTTAAATCTGCCTGACTTCATCCCCGCCATCCTGGGAGACTCCGACAGATGGAAATAAAGCAAGCAGTCTGGCTCGAGTGGCAGGGGAATCACCCCCCACCCCTTCTCCACCCCCAGCCTAAGACAGGCCACTGAACTATATTTGGTGTTAGGAATCAGAAACCAAATTACTTATAATGTCCTGGAGGCATTAACTTCCCTAATCAGCGTTTACCAAGTACCTAGGAGGCACCATGATTCTCACCATCTTACCTGTCCTGGCTTATTTAATCCCTAAGACAGCTCTATCTATTATTTGTCCTCTTTGTTAGGCAAATCCTGAGGCACAGGGGAGCTGAGAGTGTCCAAGTAAAGGCCAGAGCTGGGATTTGAAAATAGATTGTCTGGAACCCAAACCATACACTTACCACACCATGCAGGATGCTGGGAATATTCAGGGCATGGGAAAGTGCTCCAGCCCTGTGCAGTGCTTGTTCGAACAGGGGCTGCCTGCAGGAGGCCCCTGTGAGATGCAAGTCCATGAACTGGCCTCATGGCCCAACTCCAGACACCCTATTTTTCCTTTTCCACCAAAAGCAGAGGGGAGAAAAGTCAAAACAATAGGAGAAAGAAAAAGAAAGCCCAAGCCAGCTGGGTTTTCGCTGGGGCTGATCCAGGCTGTTTCCCCTCCCATCCAGCTTAGATGGTGGGAGGAACAGAGAAGAGAATTTGCCAAAGTTTCTCACTTGCCTCTTGGTTTTTCTCCCTGAGAGGGGAGATGGCTGGCTCCTGCCCCCACCTCTTCATTTTTAACAGACCCAGGCTGTAAATCTTAAATAAACCCATTTTATATTCTGCTCTGCTCCAAAGATCACCTTTGGGTTTGTTTCCCTTTAGCTCCCAATCTCCAAATGGGAAATTTGGGTTGGATTAGTGTTCTTCTACCCAGGAATGGGCCCGAACTGCAGAAGGGTACAGGTGACCATCTCCAGGAAGGCAGCTCTGTAGTATCCCAAGAAGCCGTGGCACTTGGGCATCACCAAATCATAATTAGCGGAAGGAATCATGAGTTGGGAGAAAAAGGTAAAAGAGGAGCGCTGTTGAAAAAAACATGTACAGCAAGCTTAGCACGGAGTAGTTAGCCTGAGACAGCCCTCTCCCCCTGGGGCTAGGCCTGGTGAGCTTCTGAGCATCCAAGGTTGGGGCTCTTCTCCGTTCTTTTATCACACGGTGGAGCAGGCCTAGCAGAGGTATGCACTTGCACTTACGTATTTCCCATCATTGTCAGGCTGTCCTGAATAGGCAAGTTGGCCTCCTGTCCTCTCTCCCTGATACTGATCAGAGGACTGCATTTGTCCCATCCCCTCCCTGCAGACTGCTGAAACTGAAAATATTCTGAGTAATCCAAGTGTCTTAGAGTCCTCAGATAGAATGGGCCTGAGTTTAACCACAGTGAGCGGCAGACGACTCTCTGGTGGTATTTGTCCCATTTTAAGTAGAAATGAGTTTGTCTGCTAAGCCCTACTCCTCTCTAGATGCAAAGCTTTGGAAACAGTCTGTGTCTTTATATGACTGGAGCTAAAGTTTAACCTATTGGGGGTCCCTCTGGCCCTGGGAATTGGGGTGTTCCTAGGGTACTGCTGCCTGTCACATTGGTGATCCCTCTCCCTGTCATGTTTAGTAGGTGACTCTGAAGGTGGGCTAGCCTCTGCTAAAACCCTGGATGCAGGTAGGGCACAAGGACATCTTAAGACAGCTGCTGTCCCCACCTCACCCCCAGCTGTGATGGCCCCCAGGTACCTCAGAACTCAGAACCACTAAGAAATGCTCCCTGTAGTTTTGGATGGGGAGTGCTTCCTTTCTTTCTCTCTCTGTCTTGTCTGTCTGTCTGTCTGTCTCTCCCTCCCTCCCTTCCTCCCTCCCCTTTCTTCCCCTTCTCCTTATCCCCATGTCTCTGCAGGCAAGCAAGAAAAGGCAGGAGGGGGGGTGGTTTTGGCAAGCTAGGGGCTGTGCCCCTGAAGGCCATGGAGGCCCCAGAGGGCATGGCTCCCAATGGACAGCAGGCAGCTCAGTCTTCCACAGGCCAAGAAGGAGTTAACTTCCAAGGAGAACTCGGGCTTTTCCCAGACTAGAGGTCTGTGCCCAGCCTGGCTGCTGCCAACTCTGGGAAGAAGTCCTGGGATCTGTAGTTTGTGCCACCACCCTTCCCTGGCCTTCTTGTTTATCACCACCTCCGTGTAGACTACAGTTCCCAGAAACCTGCCGAGGCCAGACTTTGGGGGAAGGGGTGGGCTGTGAGGCTCGGGGATGGCAGGAGAAAGGGAGAAGGAGGATGAGGAGAGAAAACCCAATTCACCCCCTTCCTTTTAATTCTTTTCCTGGTGTGTCTGCTCCACCACCCGAGCTAATCCCCCAAATCCGGTCTCCTAAGCTGCAGCTGCTCCCCTTCACAGTGATGAATGGCTCAGGGAGGGAAGGTGAATTCATATTTTAATTACTGAGGCGGGGTGCTAAGGGCGCAGGGGAGGGGGTGGAGGGCTCCGCATTGTTCTGAGGGCGCCCCCTCATTGGGCTACTTCTTTCCTGCCCATTACCTGGGGTAGGGGTGGGAGGCTGGGGGCATCTTGCTGGAAGCGCCTCTACTTCTGTTTTGGGAGATGAGGGTGTGGAGGGGTGCGGTGGAAGAGACACTTCCCTCTAATGGGTCAGAGAATTCCCTGCAAGTCCCAACACTTGTGACTATCTTCCTGCCCTTCCACCCTCACTGTCACACACGTGGATGGAGGGCACTACTGCAATATGAGACACCGAGAAATGTGAGGTCCCCAGCTTTACCTCAGTCTTGTCCTTCAGCCCCCTGCCTCATCTTTGTCCCTGTGCTAGGGCCAGAGAGCTCCCCGGAGCATGAGTGGCCGAGAGGAGGATGGAATGAAGGCCAAAGGAAGGGATGAGCTGGGACAGGGGCTGCTCTGGGGCCTGGTGTCTCTTTTCGTCTCCCACAAGGCTGACCATACCAAGGAGCATCTCTGATCTGGGACCATGTTGGACCTGAGCTGGGGAGAAGCCAGAGAAGAGGGTGAGCCAGGGCCAGGGTCAGGGCCAGAGCTTACAGTGAGCTGAGCCAAGAGTGGGGTGAGATAGGATAGGGAACAGGAGGTTTGCCCGGTGGCTCCCACTCCACCCCTGCCATATCTGGGTTTCTAGGGGCTGTCTTCCCATTCCTTCACATCTCCTGGATCACAAGCATGGAAGTGGAGGGTGGAGAGGAAGTGCCACAAGGAGAGGAGATGTGTGCGGAATGCTCTGGGGCTCTCCAGCTGGTGCTGCAGCCCGATGCTTAAGTATGAGGATAAAGATCAGGAAGAGAGTAGTCAGGGCTCCTTCACCCCGGCCAAGGGAGTCTCCAGGTGCCTACTGGTGGGGGCTCTGAGGGAGGAGGAGTGGGGCCCCAGAGCAGGCAGGGACATTAAGATGGGATGGGATTCTCTGGTCCATATGTCTTCTACTTCCAGAGCTAACTTAGTGATCACAGCACGGACAGAGCCCAGGCCGCTTCCGGGGCTTAGAGTTGGGGGCTCACATAAGCACAACCCAGGAGTCACAGTGAGGCAACCAAGTCACAGCCCCCACTCAGCTGTGATGGGCTGTCCAACTCTACTGTGAGATCTAGTTTCTCCTACCCTACCCCAGCCTTTGCTGTGGTAGTCGGTTGAGCAAAAACACTCAGATTTTCACCTTCCCCAAAGGACTCCAAAGAGAAACAGCCACTGAACAATGTACATTTTGTTGTTTTGAAGAAAAAAATGTGGGGTGGGCAAAAGGGAAGAGGATCTTTGAATCCAGAGTCTATGAGTTGCTTCACTTGGGTGAAAACTATTTGCCTGGCTTTACCTGTGAGTCCCCCAGATCAACTATTAGAGTCTTTTTCTTTCTTTCTTTTTTGCAGAACTGGGGATTGAACTCGGGATCTTGTGCTTGCCAGGCAAGCACTTATTCTATTGAGCTATCTCCCCAGCCCCAGATCAACTATTGTACCCATCAATTTCTACGATTTTGGAAATGTTTTGTTAATAGACCCTTTACAGACACCCCCAGCACAGAAGTGTGCATTTCTATTGCTGGACTCAGTCACCCGCCTGCTCCCAGTTTTCCTGACCAGGCGAAGAGTCCCCTTGTTCATCTAGTCCTTTAGGTGTGGGGTCTACATGTTAGTTAGACCTTGACTAACCTGGAATACTGAAATGAGGGTGGAAGGGGCTAGAAAGATAGAGTGTTTCCCCCATGGTGACACAGCTCAGGAATGGAACCCAGGCTGCCTAAGTCTCAGCTTGGTTCCCTGTCTCTCTCTAGGTTTGCCATGGGAGGGACCCAGAGATAGCTGCAGTAGACGGATCTAGAAATATAGTAGTTGTGTCTTGGCTCTGACTATATATATCCTGGAGGTTGCTCTCTGCTCACTATATATACTCCATCAGAGTGGGTGTGTAAATGGTGCTGGAAAGCAGGTTATTAAATAACAGCCTATCTACCCATGCTGACTCAAGCTGGGCCTCCTGCCACCCGGCTGGCCATTGGAAGTGCATTGTACCTATTAATTACAGCTATTGGATGTGTTACCGGGATGCTGAGGAGGGGGAGGGGGAGGGAGGGACAATCCTAACAGGACCGAGGTCCACCACAGGTGTTGTGCTTGGTGGGGGCCTCAGCTCTGCCTGGAGAAGTATGAAGGAAGTTCATTCAAGGGATGAGCTGGCCAGGCCTGGGGCACGGTCAGAGGGCCACCACCTGGGCCATGCCAGGTTCCTCAGAGTCTATGGAGGGAGTGATTTGGTGGACAAGACGTGCATGTGGGGCATGGGACATCCCTGCAGCCTCTACCCTAGCCTGGGCCTGCCTCTCCCTCAGTGTTGGTCAACACTCACCTCCTTGCTGCTGTGTTCTTCCTCCCACCAGGCCCGGGACGCAGGGTGCCCGCCTTCCTCGGCTCCTGGCTTCCCTGCCTAAGCTGACTTGTGGGCTCCTCTGCCACCGGCTCAGGGCAGCCAGGTAACCCAGAGGAATGCGCAGGTGGGCGAGGCTGGGGGATTGCGAGTGGACAAACAGGGTCGCAGCTGCACAGCCAGGGTCCTATGCCCAGCCTGATGCCAGGTCAGTCTTTGCCTGACTCCATGTTGAGGTTCTGGTCAGCCAGAGACAGGACAGTGTGCCCCACAGAGTGAAATCCTGCCTCAGTCTCTAAGAGAAAAATGAAGCCTCCCTTTTGTACCTACTTCCCCAGCCCTTTGCCTGGCACAAGCACTAAATAAAATAGTCCATTGGCTAAAAGAACTCTCTTTGCTGTGTGTTACTCTGAGCAGTCAAAAGATGCGCACTCTGTCCCCTGTAGATTACCGTGGGTGTCAGACAACTTGGCATGGCTAAGGAGTGGCAGAGTCTGTGACTCGGTTCCAGCTGTCAGAGTAGAGACTGCTGGGTGAAGGAGTTTTTCCAGGCTCCACAACGTCTCACCTCTGGATCTTGGAATGACACCTTAAGGAGTGCATGGAATCCCCACCTTGAACCAGTGTGAGGCGGCACAAGTCAGAGCATGAGCCAGCTCCCTATTCCCAGCCTCAGGTGTGGGTGAGAGGAGGCTGAGGGACAAAGCAGGCAGGCAGCCACTGGGCCTTCTCATGGACCACCTCAGCTCCTCACAGACTGGGAAACAGGGAGGTTTCAGAGGTTCCTATTGAGTGGCATGGCTCCCTGAGCCCGTGTAAGGTGGCAGGTAGGGCCTTGGCAGTTTCTGGGAGCCCATAGGATTCTGGGAACATTAACCCCAGCTTGCTTCTCTCTTCCTGCCTTCTGCCCCTCCCCTGCCTTTCCCTGCAGATCTCCTCTGGTGAGCATTGCCCAACCTGGCCCAGGGCATGCCCCAGTTCACTTTCGCCTGCTTCTGTGGCCTCCACGGCTTCTGCAAGATGAAGAGGAAGAAGGAGGAAGTTCACAGAGAACGGGAAACAGCAGTGTGAGCAAAACCAGGGCCCCTTTGTCAGCCCCCAGCAGGTCACAGGCCTGAGGTTGTCCATTCCTGGCTGAGGCTGGGGCAGGATCCTCTGGAACATTCTCTTTTAGCCGGTGCTCAGCTGGCTACCCTGAGGGCACTGGCCTCCTGTGTGCCTCCCAGTCCTCCTCACGCCCATGCCTCCTTTAGCTTCTAGTCCTCAGACCTCTGGTCCTAGTTACACAAGGGGAATCCCAAGCCCTCCAAGTTGCCTTCCAGAGACAGAAGTCTCAGGCAGGCCAAGACCTGAAGCTTTTCACCTGCCCTGAAGGCTCCAGGGCTCTTCTAAGGGTAACTTCTCCCTGGAGAGACTTCTGCCTTGTGTGAGGAGAGCTGTTTGCTGAACAGGAAGCTGGCTGCTCTGGCAGAGAACCTGGAGCAGCCCAGGGCTGGAGATGTGAGACAGCCAGCTTCAAGCCTAGGATGGAGCCTCTATGGGGCCTCAGGACCCGGAGCAGCCACAGCCAGCCCTGAGGAATGAATCCTCAGCCCCTCAGCATCTTGCTGGGTCAGGTGGGCTGGGCTTGAGGTGAGGGGAAGAGGTGGATGCTGAGAGGGGGAACTATGTCCACAGCCCTGGCCCTGAACCTGCTTCCATGACATCTGAACCTCTGGCAGCAGAGCAGATGTGGGGGTCTGCCTCCCAGGTATGGGATCACCCCTCAGGAACTGTCTTCCAGGAAACAGATTGTGGGACCTCTTCCCTGACTAAACTGTCCTCCCTGCCTTTATTTCCTATCTTCCTGCCTCATCCCTCCCTTCTCAGAAGCCATAGAGGGGGTTAATGCTTGCATGTGCTGCCTTCAGTGGAACTCTTGGAGTAGGGGGACTTCTGGGATTTCACTTGACCTCTACCCTTATGTCCCCATTCCAACAGCCTTCCAGTTTCAGTTTCAACCACTCCCTCCCACACAAAGCCCATTTTCAAGACGTAGGAAGCAAAAGAATGCCCCCCACCGCCATTTTGTCATTGAGCCTGGGCCCCTCAGGTGCTAGAAGGGAGCTTGGAGAGAAACCTTTCAGGCAGATTCCAGTGCTTCTGCAAGTCAGCTTTCTTGTCTGCACCGGGACCTTTGGCACAGGGTCAGTCGTACCCCTGCCCACATCCAGGGACAGAATTGCTTGTCTGACATAAACAGATGGCCTGGTCCAGGAGAGGAGGGTCTATTCGTCTATCCTGGGCCTCTCTGGGCAGCTGAGGCAGGCAGAGGACCCCCTTGCTGTCCCTCAGAATCTGGCAGTGTTGCCTGCCCAATTTACATTCTCTGGGAGCATTTCCTGTCCTTTGAGCGATTTGGTGGGATCCAGGTTGTCTTGTGGAGGCCCAAGCACAGCTTAAGACTTCTCTCTTCCATCTTCCAACTCCTTTGCCCCTGCCTCCCCCCAGCTCCAGCCTCCTCCAATCTGTTATTTCCTTTTATATTCAAAGAATTATAAACAGAAGTCATTCCCTCAAGGAAACAGCAAGATTTAGCAATCCAATGCAGTGGGGTTGAAAGGGACAGAAGAAATCTTCCCTGGTTCTTTGTCCTTATGGGCAGTAGAGGCCTTGGGTGAGGCAAAGGGGCACAAAAGCTTTGGGGAGCTGCCTTGACAGGGTAGCCAGAGCCGCCTGGAGGGCATGCGTCCCAAGTGGTGACTTGTGAGATGTTACTGCTGTGATACAGGATGAAATTGTATCCCTGGGACTCAGAGGTGTTGGATGTTATGTCCTAACCACAGAGCTCCCCTGGAGGAAAGGTCAAGAGTGGAGAGAGGCCCTTGGAGCAGAGAGAGGGTGACAAAGGACAGCTCTCCTCAGGGGCACCTCTGAGCCCTTGGCAGGGATGGCAGTTGCAGGGTTTGGCAGGGAGTCGGCTCTGAAGACCTGTCTTCCCCAGGAGAGCTCCCTTGGCTCTGGAGGGACACTAGCTGTCTTGGGTATCTGTATGAGAACATGGGAAGGATCTCAAGGTTAGGGCTTCCTAGTGCAGGGTTATGGCTGGGACCAGTGCCACAGCAGAAATGGCACGGAGGAGGCTGCCCCAGCTTCAAGCAGCCCACCCCCCATTATTCTCCTGTTTCCTTCTCAGGGAGATAGAGACTTTGCTCCTTTTAGCTTCCTAGGAAGCAGACTGGAAACCCATTACCAGTTCTGTGCCCTTGGGTGGGCCC